TTCAACAATAGATGAGCAGTGTAGAACTGCGTGCGAACGTGATCTGCACCAGTTAATTGGTAAAACTTTTAATTGGCTTTGCGCCGCCGTTTTAGACTTTTTACTGATGGTCAGAGAACCAGCGGTAACGGGATTATTTTTTTATTAACAAAAAACATGGGATATACATACAAGTGATAAGAAACTTTTTATTTATTAAATATATTATCAATGTAAAGTATTTAACGCAGTTTAAAGTTAGGATCATTGCATCGAATACATCAATAGACATTCATCAAAGATATCGTTTTCAATTTCACCATCCTGTAACAACTAAAGGTGACTTTTTAACTTGTTAAAGAGCGATAAAAGCAATAGTAATTAGTTATAGCATAGTAACAACTAACTTGTTTTTAGATGCTGAGCTGTCGATAAATTGCAATTCTGTAAGAAATAAACCCTTTTAAAAAAAAGTTGAACCGACTTCAAAAAACACCGACAAAGAGCACTAAAAATTAAAAAATAATTACAAATCTAAGTAAAAAACTATAATAAGTACCCTCAATGTAACAGGTAATATTATAATACCAATAGTCCCTTCTAGTCGGTTTGAAGTCGGTGCCAAGCCAAATAGGTGCTTGATAGAATGTAGCGCGGCAGCTGCAACAGTCTTCATGCTGCGCAAAACATGTTGAACGAGCTAAAGTGGACGCACATCTCCAATTATATTATTATTTTGAATGCTTTAATAAGGAGTTGATACGTTTGCGCACGTAATTGATCTGGTTGGTCGTTATTAATTAACAAAATCTTCGATGTTTCATAAGAATTATTTTGAATTCTTAATTTTTCATTGTGCTAATATAAAGCTGACATAGACCAGTATTACTTATTGTGCATCGAGCTTGGCACCGACTTCAAACAGACTAGAAGGGACTATTGGTATTATAATGTTACCTGTTACATTGAGGGTACTTATTATAGTTTTTTACTTAGATTTGTAATTATTTTTTAATTTTTAGTGCTCTTTGTCGGTGTTTTTTGAAGTCGGTTCAACTTTTTTTTTAAAAGGGTTTATTTTACCATTTTTAGTGTAGGATATGTTTGTAATGAGTAGATAAGTACGATATTAAAACACTACGTACCGTAATGTATAGTAACAAACTGTAGTTTGTTAGATTATATTAAATATTATATTAAATTACTGCTGGACATAGGCCTCTCCTACATTGGCGTCCAAACTGATCAAGATCAGCTTAAATTCTTTTCTAAGAAACAGTCAAATTCTTGTGAGTTGCAACCGAACAAAATAACTTCCGATTCAATTGACACTGACCTCGAAGGTGAAGATAGGGAAGCTTTAGTGAGACTACTCAACAAATATGCTCAATATTTTATAGGAGTTCCAACTAGAAGGGTTAATACTGGTATGTTAGAAATTAACCTAGTTGACCCACACAAAATTTAAGAGTTTTTTCCAGAACTATTTTAATAAATTAAGTATAAAATTACTTACAAACGAAATGCGATGCCATCCATAGCAACAAAACGTCTATCCGAATTATTTTAACAAGATAAAATACAAAATTTCAACATTTTCTTCTTATTAATACAACGAAAATTACTGTGGTGACATAAATACTGCAAGTTCTCTGCGCATCACATCGCGCAGTCTCTGACGGTTGCCATGGTTTTAAAGAAATACTCGTTGCTAAAACACGTTGTCGGGGCTGTCAAATTCCCAATAATTGTGAGGGTTTCCCTCGATTTCTCTAGAATCTAATCATCAGATCCTGAATTGGTGGTAATGGGACCAATTCGGGAGCATACCCTTTCGATTACAAAAAGAATTTTGAAAATCGGTCCACAATTGACGGAGAAATCGCGTAACAAACATACATAAAAAAAAAAAAAATACAGACGAATTGAGAACCTCCTCTTTTGTGTTTTAGAAGTCGGTTAAAAAGAAAACATACTGTCGAATCAAAAACCCTCCTTTTTTGATGTTGGTTAAAAATCGACTAGCATGAAGCTCCTAGTCGAGACGAATCAAATGAGCACAAACACGGCGGAATTGCTTTATTTTATTACAGAGTTCCCATGGCTATTTACCGTCTCCATCATCAGACCCTGAATATCACATAGGATCGGAGTCCTTATTAATTAGACTCAAAAACATTCAAATTCGATGGTATTACATAATTTTGTTACAGAGATCCCATACTCCTAAACCATTCATCATCAGCTTCATCATCAGCTCAGCAACATCAGATGGTGACCATTAGATGCAAAAATCTACATAGATTAAGATAATTTCTGATAAACAGTGTATATGCCTACAAAATTGGAGGGTTTCCCTCGATTTCCCCAGGATCCCATCATCAGATCCTGACCTGGTGACAATGGGACCACCTCTGACGTATGACCTACCAAATAAAAAAAGAATTATTCAAATCGGTTTATAATTGCCGGAGTAATCGCGTAACAAATATACAAAAAAAAAAAAAAAAAAAAATACAGTCGAATTGAGAACCTCCTCCTTTTTTTGAAGTCGGTTAATCAGGTCATCATATTATAGGCATGGGCATATCGCAGGTAACTGTGATTTATCATGCGATTTTTTCCTTCCTAGGTTCCTTTCCTAGGTTAGGGTTGCTACTTACTCACGTACTGTTGCCAAAAAGCTGATGTTTCAGACGATTCATAAAGACCCTATTTTGCCTATTTAACAGAAAATCTTGTAATTATTTTATTATATATAGCTACTTTACTTATATAATAATAAATACTAGATTTACTGGTTTACTAAATTCAGTAAATTTACTAAACCAGTGAATAGCCCGCTTAGAGGGCGGGTAACTTATTTTTCAGACCTAATGTTCTTTCTCAATCTTTATAAGATCATCTCTCCACCTTCTTGGTGGTCGATTTAAGCTACAGTTTCCACTCCGTGGTCTCCATTCCTGAATCTTTTAGGCACCATCAGTCATCCGTTATGCTTGTTATGAAATGTTAGTAATCTGTTTATTTCTGATTCGATCCTGAAGAGAAACTACAAGTCGACACGTCCTCTCCATAGCTTGTGGAGTGACTCTGCACCCTCTTTTTTTGGAGGTTTGGAACGGGGTGGCAAAATCCCTTCGGATCCGGCTCCTTGGGGATACACCACCCGGACGGCCAGCCTCAGGCTCCCTACTCTGGGGAGGACAAGTAGTTCCCGAGTTATGTATATGTGTAATTATAAAATCTTAGTACACTATAGATATATATTTATTATATACAATAAAGATTTTTTCTCTATTAAAGCATACCACCGCCGCTTCAATGGCCTCGATAATTAAAAAATGAAAATTCAACATCAAGCAATTCAAACTCAACCTTTTCTTTGAGAGCTTAAAGTCGTTTATATTTTTAGTACTGGATAATAAATTAAATGATAAATTGACTTGGTGCGTTCTAGTTAATCGCGGCAACTTCGCGATGGTTGGTCAATGGCGGCGGTCAGTTGAATTTTTAATTAAAACCAAACTGCGTACGTACGTGGAAATATGCAAGCTATTTATCATTAGTTTTTGTTTGTGTTCGTGTTTCATGTTCTTTATGAATGTTTTCCAAATAGCGTGTACTACACATTTACACAGGTCCGTATGTATGCATGTCGTATGTGTGTGTGAAGAAGTGAGTGTGTTAATATGAGTATGTCAAGGAAAACAGATTTTCTTCTGACAGAAGAACTAAAACTGCTTTGCGTGTAGTAAAATGTGTTTGTAATGTATTACAAAACTGTAGAAGTTAATAATCTGTACTTCACCTAGTAAAACAGTTTTTTTTTATGTTAGAGGGGGCAGACAAGCAGACGGGTCACCTGGTGGAAAGTGACTATCGCCGCCCATGAACGTCTGCAACTCAGGAGTCACAAACGCGTTGCCGGCATTTTAGGAAGGAGTACGCTCTTTTCTTGAAGGTTTGAAGGTCGTATCGGTCCGGAAATACCGCAGACGATAACCCGTTCCACAGGTTAGTTGTAGTAGTGGAGCGCCAACTATCCAGGTAATGAGGATGAAAATTTTGCCGTGTGGAACGATGGCGGAAATATGCGGCTGGTATTAGTCCGAACAATTCCTCGGAACACTCTCCATGATATATGCGATAGAGAATGCAGAGTGAAGCCACATCTCTACGTAACGCCAAGGGATCGAGCCGATCGGAGATGTTTGGGCTATCAACGATTCGAGTCGCTCTTCGTTGGATGCGGTCCAGAGGGAGAAGCTGCTACTGAGGTATTTAAAGGACATGGCCAGTTTCTGTCTAGTTTTTTGGTAGCATGTACATTAATAACAGCCTTATGATAAGAAAATAAAAAGAAATATATAAATTATGGCATCCTTCATATTTCTGTCTAACTTCCGAGTGTTAACACAAGATTAAAGAGTTTTTTTTTTATTTCCTATACATTCAGGTTCTGCGCCATTTTGAGAAAACGTGTTTCCAGTAAAAGTAATGTTTACGTATAAAACCAGCGTAAATATGTAAAAATAATTACGTTGGTTCAAAATAGTACTAAAGATTAAAAATCAATATAGTAATGATATTTATGTACATATATAAAAATATTATAAATGATTGTTATTAATTCATAATAATTATACTTCTTTGTGATTTGCTAAACGAAACGTAATGCTATGTTATCATGACAGCGGATCTGTCACTATATTTTAGAATTTTGGCATTTTGCTCACGTTGTATTATTTATACAAAAGTACCTACCTACTTTGTGTATTATTTACGCTTGCGTTTTTGTGTGAATAGTGCGATTTTCAACGTTTACCCATAATTATAACGACCATTGCTTTTCTTCACGGACTGATTAGATTGCCAAAACGTTATTTTGAGTGCTTGTTATTACCGACTTGATTTTATGTACGTTTCGAATATTGTTGAATAAATATTCAATTATGAGGTGTATTAACTGCGGGATAGCCACGGGACGGTTAAAACGACATGTTGCATCCTCATTAACAATGCCTTTCCAAACAACGCTTGCACGATGGTTATCAACCGAGGTATGTACCTATTTGTAAAACCACAACATATTATTTTACACAATTGCAAAATACACAATGATTATGAGGTTCTATATCTGCAGAGACAATGCTTGTTCTATATCTGTCAATGTCAATGGTTTAAATCACAACTATATTTCTTTAGTTAATTAAAACCATAATACTAGTTGGTTTACAATATTATTTATCACTCATGTATATAAAATGTTTGTTTAGAACTTTATTAATGCCATAATAATTAAAAACGTGGTTACACCTATAGTTTCTTAATGAATTATGTCTTTCAGCTTCCCGAAGATGGACATATTTGTCACCCATGCTTCTTACTGCTGTCTTCAGAAGATGCAAGTGCAAGAGTCCTGGGTCATACAATGGTGTGTCTTGGTTGTGGCCGATCAGTGAGGGATGCAAGACATCACATTGTTGAGTCTGAGAGTCCACTTCTTCTGGACTTTTCTTTTACAACAAGACTTCAGGTATGTATTGGGTTTCTATAATTACCTGTATTTAATTATTCTAAATACATTAGCTTTATTCTCTATTATTTAATTATTTACTCACAGCTACTTATTTCTTGTAGGGAATAACAAGGAACTATATTTGTCATCCCTGCTGGATGAGAAGTAACAGACAATTACATCATGACTCATCTCGAGAAGAAACTGCTCAGTCTTCGAATAACATCCAGCATGAAGATGCATTGATACCAGTTCAACCAGAGCCTCCTAACTTACCTTTATCACATGTTTTGCCACCAACTCATAGTCCAACACAAATAATGTTACCAAACTATAAGCGTGCTTCAAATACCTCTGCTCATTGCATATTTTACAGATGTAATAACAGATCATTTCATCTAATTCCTTACTTTATAAAAAGAATTTTATTAAATGATCACAACTTTTATATACCTCGTAGTTCAAGAGTTTGTGAGTCACATTTATACACAGATGAATGGCATCTGTTGCCACAAAACATCATAACATTTTCTTCTTTTAGTGCTAATCAAATAGAGGATATAATCAAAATATCTAAGTCTACAGGTGAATATATTAATTTTGAAAATATTCATGAAATGCCTAATCATTTTTGTCATTACTGGACAGGACTAACAGTAAGTGAGTTCTTAAGCTTTTTAAATAGTTTCCCTGCACTTAATGTACGGAAACAAAAAACAGCCCTGGCAATATATTTAACCAAGTTAAGAACAGGTGAAAGTAACAGAAGGTTGACAACAATTTTTAATATTCCTAGATCTACTTTAGAACTAACAATGAAAAAAGTGAGAACTTGCCTTTATGAGAATTTTGTACCGCAACATATAGGAGCAAATCATATCAGTCATTCTGAAATTGTTTCTAGGAATTTACGAATTCCTTATGCTCTATGTGGTGATCCAGAAGTAGCACCTGAGAATAGACCTGCTATACTCATGTTTGATGGTACTTATATTTATCTTCAGAAAAGTGCAAACTATATGTTTCAAAAGAAAACATATAGTTTACACAAATATGATAATTTAGTGAAACCATTCATGATTGTTTCATGTGATGGACACATTATTGATGTTGTAGGTCCATTTCCTGCTACTCAGACCGATGCTGAGATCATGACCAATTTGTTAGAAAATGAAAATAGTTCTTATCGTAGACTTTTTAGAGCTAATGACATTTTTATTTTAGACCGTGGTTTCCGGGATGCAATACCAACTCTAGAAAGTTTGAACTACAGAGTTTTTAAACCTGAATCACTTGATGAAGGCCAAACTCAACTAACTTATTCTCAAGCTAACAAAAGTAGACGTGTAACACTTTGTAGATGGGTCGTTGAAGTTGTTAACGGCAGATTCAAACGAGATTTTAAACTGTTTAGGCAACGGTATTTTAATAAAGCTGCTACCCATTTAATGATTGATTTTAAGATAGCAGCTGCTATTTTGAATAAATTCCACCCTGTTCTCATAGACAATCCTTACTGTGAGCAAATTATTCAAAGAGCATTGCGGTTCATGGATGAACCAAATCATCTAGGGCAGTTTGTAAATGATTATAATTTAAACAGACGCAGAGTTATGTTAAGAAGAATTGATGGTAATCTACCGCAACTGGAAAGATTTCCAATATTTTCGTATGATCAGTTGTTGTTAATCGCATTAGGTCCGTACCAAGTAAAACAGGCACGATCATATTATGGTGAACATATAAGAGCAAATGGGGTTTACGAGGTGGAAGTGTGCCCAGAACTGGATCATTCTCAAGAAATGGTTCTACAGGTAGGCGGGAACACTCCTTATTTATTAAGGGGGCGTATAAAGTCCAGGCATATAAGTCAAAGGATATATTATACATATATTCTGTTTGATACTGAGCCCAGTAACAACTATTCACTAGATTCTATTTTAGGTTATTATTGCAGCTGCTTAGTTGGCAACAGGACCGTAGGATGTTGTTGTCATGTAATGACAATGATCTGGTACCTAGGTTGGGCTAGACATCAGACCAATATTACTCCACCAGCATCATTTTTAGATAATATTTTAGTTCGAATGATTGAATATTAAATGTCATAATAAAACATTTTATATAAAAACTATATTTTTTTATTTCACCCATTACCAATCCATTAAGCATCCACTCAGTCCTTCAGCGCACCTTAATCTAAAATCTGAACTTAAAATAATCTTGAAGTATTTAATAATTATATTTCTTAGTTATCGCATCCTCGTTAAAAAATACTTTTTCAGGATAAACTTAAGCATGTTTTACCGACTGGAAACCGAACTAGGGCCACTTAATTCAAACGCACTTACTACCACGGTCGTCTTTAAAAATAATATCGTATTTATTTTTATTATGTATCCATTTAATACCTTTTCAGTGCTCCGAACGCCTGTAGTTTTTATGAAAGCAAAACAGTTTCTATGAACTCATTGCTTTTAAGTTTAAGAAGGATTAAAACATGACATCCTTTTATGTAAAAAATCTGAAGTACATGGAATATGTAACATATACATTATATTTTTTAGGACAAATTTAATTCCAAAAAGCAAAATTTCGTTAATGTACATGAACTTTTACAAGCTAGGCAGAGGGCCTTGTATAAATTGGCCATGTCCTTTATTTATTTATTTTTATTTTGGTATTTAATTTAGCCAAAATATTTAAAACTTGTGTTTCAAAGTTTTTCATCAACCCAGAGCTTGGTAGTATGTATAAAAGGTATAAATATTAGATGAGACTTAATAAAAATGTTGTAGCGTTGTGTGATTTAAAGTCTGATTGACAAGCGAAAGAGATGAGGTCCGGTGTGTTTTTTTATGGCATAAGGGGCAATCTTTATGGTATAAGGTTCAAAATAATACACGTGCCACCTGATGGTAAGTAACTAACACCACCCATGAACACCTGAAACACAAATTACTATGTAGAGACATATCATACCCGCGTCTTACAAATAAGTTTGATTTAAAGACCGCGTTGCCTAAATATTTTGTCAACAACATTGAACAATATTAATAACGGTTAATTACAAGTATTTGATAACTTTTAATAACTTTAGTAGATAGGTGTTTACTTCACATTAAGGTGAATTAAGAACTAATTTATCATATACTGTGTTTTGGTGGATGACGTTATGATATACTGGTATTTGAAAATATTTTCTGGATTTTGTTTACATTTTGAACTGTATACTGTTAAGAATATAATCAAAACTTGAAGATTGAACATCAACTCAGACGGTGGAAGATAGATGGGTCTGATAGTAAAAAGTGAATTTTATTAGTTTTTTAATTATGAATATGATTGATTGGCCTTTTGGTCTAGTGGTTAGTGATATTAACTGTCAAGCCAGAGGTTATGGGTTCGATTCCCAACTGCAATATAAATATATTTAAAGTAGATACTTTTGTCAACAGTCTGGTTATCATAGCACAGACTTTAGTTTGAATCAGACGTCCGCATGTGGATTCGGGAGATTATTATCATTATTATATCATAATATAAATACAGTACTTTCCTCAAGATGGTTCCTCTTTCTAAACAAAGAGTTCGAGCACGACAACACACAACAGTACTATGCCGGCGTATTTTGTGAAGTTTTACAACGATTTGGTAGTGTTTTAAAACATTTTTTTCAGGATTTTCTTTTGATCAGATTACCTTCATTGAAGATGAGTGCTCAGAAACCAAAAAATACTCGATAGGTTTTTAATCACCGACGTATGCATTTGATTATGATGTCATAGTCCTAAACGAATGCTTTAATATTTTAGGTTTTTTGTTTAAGATGTGATAAAGTCACTTCTGGGGTCGGAGATTTGTGGAGATTTTGTGAGATTTTGTTAGAGGAATACTAGGAAGGCAGGAGGCATCACCAATGCCTCATTTAAAGATACTTGTCTCTCTCTCTAAACGTTCATATACATGTATATTTACATTTACCTCCGTCAATAATACGTCATTATAGGTTTATTTATAACTACAGAATTTTAGTAAATGATGATATGCGTAGCTCTGGTTGACCATCTGTCAAGGGATTGGGGTATCATCCTGAAAGCCGACGTTGTAATCTTTATTAAGTTTCAACAAGATTTAATTTCTACTATTTTATGAATAAGACGACAAGCATTCGTATCCAGGATTTAGTTGTGTCAAAATTTTCCCCAAAGATTTTATGGTCTTTAGTCCATATTGTCGGATAGCAGCTGCGGTTGATGTCGAAAACCAAAAGGTATATTGTCGAAAGTGATGTCAATCATCGTCATCATCACCAGCCTATCGCAGCCCACTGATGGAGATAGGCCTCTCCATTGCACGCCACTTAGATCGATTTTGGGCTTCTCGCATCCAGCTCCTGCCAGCCATCTTGCGCAAATCCTCACTTCACATGACCTGTGGTCGTCCTACACTACGTTTGCCGAGCCGCAGTCTTTATTCAAGAACTCGTTTTCCCCAACGGTTGTCGGTTCTGCGGCTAATATTGCCAGCCCACTGCCACTTCAGCTTGCTGATCCGGTAAGCTATGTGATGGCAATATTATGAATGAATTTAAGAACTTATGAACCCAAAAATCTCATAATAGTTTCTTCATAACAGAAACGGCAATTCTATACAAAACTGAACGATGCGCTTACCGGTAAGTACGAGTATATACTTACATCAAGACTTTGAGTGTTTTGCACTGAATCCTAGCATCTGGTTACATCAATGATTTTTAACCTACTTATAAATTTATAAAGCTTTGCAAAGCTATTGCAGGGTTTCATTGATGTCTTGTTATCTCGTTTCATCACGAACTGAACTGGCTCACTTCTTCTTGACATCTTCATTCCTACCACGATAGAATTCTCCGTTCATCAAAAAATCCTCTTCTACTATGCTCCACTCATACTTCCGCTTGTGTCCACTCCTTGTTCCAATCCGTAATCCTCTGGAACGCCCTCCTTCTAGAAATCAGGATAGCACCTAATCGCCTCTCATTCAAGATGAAAGCTCGCATTCTGGACAGCCTTTTTTTTTCTATTTTCTTTTTTGTCGACGGGGTGGAAAATCCCTTCGGATCTCCCGCTCCTCGGGGACTCAGGAGGCAGGAGTATGTGGTGATTGCACTAAAAAACACCCCGATTGCATCTTAAAGCAATCAGGCTGCCATTCTATTCCCGAATTCTGGACACCTTAGTAGAGTTATTACAACCTTAAAGTTTTATATATTATTAATATGTAGGTTCATGTATGTTTGTAACTAGGTAAGTATTTATGTATGTATTTGTTACGTATGTATGTATGTATATTTATCTAATTGTTTCTAACTTCTCAATAATGTTATCTTACTTTACACATGAATCTCTAGTGCACCTAGTAACACATTTCGGCACCACCCTAAGGTAGACTGCGAGAAAATGCCTGTGGCATTAAGTCCGCCATTGTACAACTCATATTTGTGCATAAAGAATTAAAAAACGAAATAATAAAAAGAAAACAACACTTTATTGCACCAAGGTCTCTACAAAAATTATGAAACTTAAAATGTACGGTAAAAATAATGAACAAAGGGCCGCTCAACCTTAGGGTGGGCTGGATATACCTGGTTCCCCGGCTATTAGTACCCGAGACGGCGTGCGGTTTTAGTCGGTTCGGGTCCGACATGCCACCGACAGGTGGTATACGAGGGGATTTCCGCACGGGAAAAAAAAAAAAAAAAAAGGGTGGACTGGATATATACTTTACAAACTTCAAGTATATTTACTTTACAAACATTAGTACATATTACTAACAATGGGCACAAAATGCATTAGTATAAACTTCTTCTTTTGAAACTTAGTTTTACAGAGAGTAATATAATATCTAGACGTACAAGTACATCCGCCCTTCCACAGGACAAAATCGTAACCCGTCATTACGATTTGGCTACAATATTCTTAACATACACAATATTTTTTTATAAAATGGGATCATGAAATTTGAACGCAAAGACTTACATATTATGTATCACAGAAAACCGGTGTTAAGCAATTCTTTCGTTGCCTTTCACTGAGTGAGTGAGGTTACCGGAGACCAAATCCCCGCTCCCGCTGACTCGAGCGGGAGGGACTCCAAGGGCAGCAACGCACTTGTGACTTTTGAGTTGCAGGTATCCATGGGCGGCGGTAGTTGCTTACCATCAAGTGACCCGTCTGCTCGTTTGCCCCCTTATAGCATAAAAAAAATGGCTCGAATTCTTTAGGATAGTTCGTTTCTTCAAGTTGTGTAAATAATTTAATTTCCCCTTCACAAATACAAACATGGATCTAGGATACGGAGACAAATTAAAGTTGGAGGGTCATTTGTCTCCGCCACTCTCAGTAATAAGACGCTTTGAGCTTTCAAAACATTAGATTGTATTTTGCTCAATTTGTATTTAAATAGACTAAATGAGATTAAATAATTTACGGTACAATAATGACTATATTTAGTAAGTATTTCCATTGAAATAAATGTAAACCCAGTAATTAAGGAACTGCATGACAACACGTCATACTCATGGTGAACAGTGTGGATATTACAATTATCAATAAGGTAAAACTTACCACTATAATAACCATATGTTATGTTGATATTATCTGTTTACCCAGTAAATTGAAATAAAAACAAAAAAATCTAATACCAAAAGCCACATTTCTAATTTCGCTCCGAACACTATTCACTTTCCTGGTTTTCCTTAAAAACTCCTCCTTAGAGCTTTAGAAACATCAGGAGACTTTTAGAAGTTTAAAAATATATTTGAACCGTCTACAAGAATCGCCTTGCTTCCCTTGTCATTCAAAAATGTCGCTTACTACTATAGCGTTTAGGAAACAATAGAAAAAAAAGTAAAAATTTCAGTCATAGTCCTTTTATCTCGCAAAGTTAAAGAAAGCAAGTGAAGTTAAAGACTCTCCTTAACCCTTTGGAAGCTTTTTTTGGAAGCTAGAAACGATAACTTATAGGCCTAGATTCTAAATTTGTTTTTATGGTATTTGTCCGTGTTAAATGCAATATGTTTTGTTAAAAATTTAATAATAGAAAATATAAAAAATCTTATGTGGACATTATATAAAACACTGCATTGCGTTAAAACACATAAATATAAAAGCATCATCATGAGGAACATTTCGCACTCAAACAAGCAGTTTCCCCAAAAAAAAGCCTAACAAATTGACACATCCTGGCCGTTTCCTGCACAACATCATCAGGCATTTCCCATTGTAATATTTTTATATTCGCATGATATTTTTATACCCGTTTTGTACACGTAAGGACACGTCTCATTCATAACGCCAACTTTGTATTCATTTCCTTTGATACGACCGCGGAGGCGTCAGGCAAGCCATAAATTCAGATTAAGCAAGACTAAGACTTTGGTTGTTACTTGTATTGATGTCATCGAGTTTGACAGCGTTTTCAAAAAAATAAAATACATTACATTTTGCGTAAGTTTTTGCATTATTATTAATTTTATTTACAGAGTGTACCATTTTCTGACATTTGTTTTTAGTTTTGGTAATTAATGTTTGGTGTATTCTTAGTCCGTGTGGTGACGGATTAAGAATACGGAATGTCACCACCCCTATTCATCCCGTGGGTGTCGTAAGAGCCGACTAAGGGAACAAACTGCATAGGACAACAGCACTGCAAAAAGAAGGAAAACTTGAAACAAACCCTATACCAACCCGTCTGGCCAGCGTGGTATAGTAGGCCAAAACCTCCTTTCTAAGGAGAGGCCTTTGTCCAGCAGTGGACTAGTATAGGCTGTTGATATGATGTGATGTGATGTGATGTGAATGAATGTTTTCATGTGTGTTAAATGAATGTAATATTTATATACGTATGAACTAGGTTTCATTTATTTTAATATCATGCTGCTAAATTAAAAGAAATAAAAGTAGCTAGTACACAATTATCTTCATATTCATGCGTAATACTATGAAACGTTCAAATAAAAATAGTATAAAGGTGAAATAAAACAGTTAAAAAAGGAAACATTTTCGAAAACCAAAACCTTTCTAAGGAGAGGCCCATGTCCAGCAGTGGACTATTACAGCCTGTTGATCATGATTTATGTACCTAGTGTGTCTATGTAGTACAACATTTTGCAGTTGATAACAATTAAAATAATTTATCTCATCTGCTTCAAAGGCTGTTGATGTGATGTGATTTAGTACAGAGTCATGTTCGACTTTAAACAATCGTAAAAAATATCATAATTATAACGTGACATTCGACTAAAATCTTAAACTGATGCAAAGTGCAAATCGATTTTGAAGATTAATAAATCGATTCCATTTACTCAATAACTATAATGTTGCTTTTATTTTATAAGGTGAACAGTATCGATTGACTTGACCTTAACAAGAATGCGATAAGTAGTAAGGAGCAGTTTATACAGTAACATGTACCGCACATCTCAAGAACAAAGTTACATCAAGTGTGATTTAAGCGAATTTTGATTAAAGGCCTTCATACAATCGCCACATTTGTTCCTAGCTTTGTCATTTCACTACAGCTATCAAATTTTGCACTAATACCAACTATACGTTGCAGTTTTACTTGAGCTTTATGGTCATACGACTCATGGCGTCATGTTACGTAAACTGTAATCTTCCTCAATACGGAAAGAATTATTCAACTTGCACTGGTTCCAGAACTTTAAACAGCGCGTTTAAACAAACAATCAAATAAAAAAGTCTTTAGCTT